TGAAATGAACAAATAATTGATTTTGAAAAATTCTATCATGCAGTCTCCAGCATCATTTTCTATCACCAAGGCCATATTTCCCAACTACTGATCCTTCTTGTTTGTTTCCAACCTTTGGATTCCAATCACCATTAATGATCAATACATCTTGATTGCATGTTTGATCGATTTCAGATTGAAGAAGTTGGTAGAATTCTTCTATTTCATCTTCACTGGCTTTACTGGTTGGTGCGTAAATTTGAATAATAGTGGTATTAACTAGGCTTTCCTGTAGGCGCATGGATATTGTCCTATCACAGACAGCGCTGTATTGTACCACATGACTGATCTGGATATGTTCTTTTTGACAATGAATGCAACACTATTATTCCTCTTTGTCATTCCCAACATAGTAAACCATGTGGTTGTCAGATTCAAAATGGCTAGTGCCAGTCCATTTCAGCTCACTATTGCCTAAGATATCGATGTTTATGCATTCCATTTCATTTTTGACTTCTAATTTTCCCAGATTCATACTTCGTACATTCCATGTTCTGATTTTCAATGGATATTTACAGCTGTTTCTCCTCATTCAAGTTTTGCCCATCAGGAAATGAAGGTCCTACAGGCTTTTCTCCCACGGGATTTACTCCATTTGCGTCAACACGGTCAAGTCTACTTTGAGGAGGCAACTCTTCTCCAGTCCCATTTTGAGTGCCTTCCAACCTGAGGGGCTCATTTTCTGGCACTGCATCTGACAGTGTTTCTCTGCTATTCATAAGGTTTTCAGGGACTAAATATTCAGAAGTAGTTTGTCACTCTTCCTTCCTAGTTTGTCTTTGTCTGGAAGCTCATCTGAAACCTGTCCACCATGGGCAACCCTACGGGTATTTAAAATATCGGTGGCATAACTTTCAGAATCACAGCAACTCACAAGCCACCACAATATGACAAACTGACTGATGAGTGGTGGCCATTTGGTTTTAAGTGGACACTGTCACTTTAAATTTCAAGATCTGTGTGCATGCGTAGTAGAACCCTCCAGAGATTGAGGGTTATATATGCATTCTATATATATACATATAAATTCATATATGTAATAAACCACAAGGAAGCATGGTCATTGATACTTCATAGACATAGCCAAATACCTTGCAGAATTGATTTTGGGGATGGAGGCTTTGGACCATAGTATCATAGGGCTACTCCATCACTGACATAATAATTTGGCGAGTAGAGTCTGAGGTTTTAAAAATTTGCGAAAAGTTATCTAAGATATAATAACTATCAATGTCTTTTCAACTTTGAGGAAAAGACAAAGAATGAAATCAAAGACTCAAAGAAGAAAACTGTCTTCTACAGGACTAACCGTCTACAGGAACCATGATCTCATCTACTCTGAGATCAGAACTAGATGATCCCAGCTACCACTAACAACTGCTCTGATCAGATCCTGAATAGAAGAGTAATGGGAACAGAACTCAAATCCTTTAAAAGTTCACGCTTATTGGACTGGTTGAAACTAGATCACCCTGAGATACTCCTTGAGTCAAAACTATCCCAAGAGGTCATCACCTTTCAGGTAGATAATGGATTGGCTCATAAAATAAAGACTATTATCTGTGAGTACTTTAAAAAATCATCTATGTGAAACCAAATGGTCAACAATTACTCTAAAGCAAAGGTGAAAGGGTAAGGGGGCAGGGAAACTAGATTACTGTAAATGAAGCACTCAGAATAGAATAAATGAGAATGTTGATACATTGTTAAAATGTAACCAATGAAACAATTTGTAAGGGGATGGTGGTGTGCTACAGAGTTGGTTCCAACTTATAGAGACTCTGCATATGATTTCCAAGGCTGTAAATCTTTACAACAGCAGAAAGCCTCAGCTTTCTCCCCAGGAGCCGTTGGTAGATTCAAACTGCTGACCTTTCGGTTAGTAGGCCAGCTCATAATCCATTACACTACCAGGGTTCCTTAAACAATCTGTATGCTGTTGTTGTTTTGTGCCATGCAGTCGGTTCCAACTCATAGCGACCCTGTACAGGGTTTCCGAGGCTGTAAATCTTTACGGGAGCAGAAAGCCTCATCTTTCTCCCACAGAACAGCTGG